GACCTGAGCCGTTCTGCGGTATCAGCAGTAACATAATATTAGAAGAGATTAAAAAAGAATTGGGTAGTAGAAGAACCGATAATTGGAACAATCTCTTGGGGCTGAGACAGGCCAAGATACTTCTGGGTGAATATAACCAAAAAAGATCGGAAGCCTGCATCTGCCTGAGCAAGAACAGGCTACGTATTGTAACAGGGATCCTTACCGGGCACTGCCGACTAAAAGGACACCTAAGTAAACTGAGAGTAGTAGAGGATAGTGAGTGCAGATTCTGTGAGGAGGAGTACTAAACCTCCATTCACATCCTAACTGAATGTGTTGCACTCCAGAATCCAAGGGCACTATATCTAGGAGGATATCAAATAGAAGAGGGAGACTTACCTAACTTGAAGCCACTTCAAATCCTACACTTCCTTGAGAAAATAGGATTGGAAGGGTCGCTATAGGCATTGAGACATTTCCTTAGTGCAGTGGCGACAGAAGGGGACACAATAGATCTTTTAGGTCGCAGTGTATTAACACCCCATTATCAACATAACATAACATAACATATTAAAGTCCAATAAATTCCCAACAAAGTGAGATGAATTATGTCAACTTACACCTGCTAATTCCTGAGACACAGCTGTTCAAAGTTGTTAAGGTAAGTAAACAATTATATACAAGAAGTGTTTGGAAAATGAAGTACGCCCTGTTAGTGAAATGAGCATTATAAGTTATTAAAATAAACATTTTACTAATTATTATGAAAAATGTAATGAAACTCCTTATTGTATTTTATGCACAGCACAGTTAGGGAAATAGTTATTACTCGCATTTTTTTCTATATTTTTGATGAACCAGGCTCGTCCTCTGAATCCATAACACACTTCTTGGGGGCAGTTTGCTGAGGTAGAATTTCTTCATCGAATACTCAGGAAGGTCGAACTCGTCGTTTGATGGTGTGTCATCAATAAATGGTTCATCAATGTCGTCAAACATCAGGTCTGGTATGTTCTTGCAAGATTGGCCAGTGCAGTAGCTGCAAACAGCTGAATATTTCAGTCCTGCTTTCCTGCAACCACAACTGCTGACACAACCTTTTTTACAGTTACAGAAAATTATATTTAGCAGAGCTTAAGGAGCTGGTGGTTCCATCATCTGTTGAGGAACGAAGCCTTGTGTACTCCGCATCCAGCCCTAATCAAGAGATTTCTTCTCATTTCCCAGTCACTTCTGTACCTAAAACAAAATTCACTACAAAATAAGAAACCATGTATTGGAGTCTAAGAAAACCTCTATTTTAGGTGGGGCTGCTTTTTTATTATCGATTGAAATTTCTTTTTTCCTTGGCCAAACGGTACTGATGTTGTATCACAACCGCTAAACACGTAAAGGAACGGTGTTATTCCGAGTTGTGATAATTGCGTAAAGGAATTTGTCATGTAGGTGACATCTGGGTTTTTTCCTGTTTCACATTTTACAAATATAATAATATTATTTGGTATGTTTGTTGAAAGGATGTGGTCTCCTCCGTCCATCTCGTGACAAACCACAAAATAAAACCAGCAAATCTATATCCCCCTTTACTTCGTAGGAAGAGGGTATGGAAATGGCTGTGGTTACTATTAACCTATCAGCATCTTCCTCTGCCTGTACTGTTAGAATTTTGTTCTTCTCAAAGTGAACCTTCAGCATATCAATGAGTCTAACTTTATTCCTGTCTTTCAATAGGAACTGAAGCAATGGTTGTTTCATAGAATATAAAATCAGGAGAGGACGTTGCTAGAGCTCTACGCAGACGTTCAGAGCTCTTGGTATTTTGGTATGATGCGTCAGACTGATAGCCATCAAAAACCACAGTTATATTTGAGCCGTAGTGATTATGCAAGTATTGGACATATCTGTAACCAATTTCTCCAAAAGACATATTATAATATTTATGTTAGACATAAAAGTAGGTAAAAACAAAACACACTTTTAGTAAAAATTTACCAAACAACTAAAAATAATTGTAATACTTCCTTTTTTTTTAAATTTTGCAAACTTTTAAATAGCCGTTTCTTAAAAACTATTTGGCCAACCAAAACCAAATTATTCTCATTTAATTGAAAATTTAGTCTACTTAAAAAGTGCCCATAATAACTTTTGCCGTAACGTAGGTTCTTGGTGGTAAAAATTGACAAAAACTGAAAAAAGTCCTAAAATTTAATGAATTTTCAAGAAGGGCCTTCGAGGTGGAAAATTTGGATTTGTCATTATTCATTTCATCACTACCAACTTATAAAAAAATCAGAACTACCTCATTTGATGTAAGGCAACACTTCTTTTTTGGTACGATTTCCATGTACTATTAAAAATATATCTAGATATATATTAGACACACTGAACCAGAGACAAACTGTAAGGCTGAAATCACACAAAATCACATCACATAACGAGGTGTTAATTGACAGGCTGGCGCCCACATGTGCGTATCCAAATGAACTAAAAGGTAACACCAATATTACACTGAACTACAACAATTTTTTAATTAAAAATTGTCTCTGATTAATACGCAGCTAAAATAAATGTTTAAATAATAATGCTTAAAATACCACGTTATTAATAAATGTGTCCAACACATGACTTTCCTGTCTAGTTTTTATAAGCTTTTTCCGGTTATTTTGTACAACTTACACCCCTCCCTGTAAACATTTTTTTCGAAACATTTTTTTCGAAACATTTTTATATGTATGTATTCATTGCCAACGAAAAACTGAAAAATTAAAATTTTACACTTTTTCTCAATTTCAAAAAAGTTCAAAAAATAATTGAAGCACTAGTGATAAATATTATAAGTGAAAATAATTATAAAAATGCGTACTTTGCACTTTCTCGAATACTGCCATTTAAGGAAAATCATGTATAGGACACAAATTATAGATAATGACATCGCAAGCAAGTTTTATTTGAACAATTTTCTGAAAAATTCGAATTTTGTACATTTTTTTTTTATTTCTCGAATACGAACCATTTTTGGGTAAATAATGTATATGACAAAAATTTTAGAGAATGACATCATAGGCAACTTTCATTTGACTACCTGCTATAAAGTACCCCCCAGATACTCAGACTGTGTCCAAAATTATATATGTCATATTGGAAAAACTGCCCTAGATCAGCAAAGAAAACTTGTATGTAACTTTCCAACATCTCAAGACTTTGACACTTTGACTTTAACACCCTGTATTTTAAAAATTATCAACTTTTGGGCTAGATCCTCATTATTAGCCTCGTTTCTAACCCGCCCCCTTTTTGTGTCTAAGTTTTTCGATATGGCGACCGTAATAGATCGGTGTCAGAATTTCTTAAAACATTTTCTGTGTGTTTTAACCTCCTGTATGTAAAGTAGAATAAAAGTATGTCAGTCATATGCCCTATAGTTGCATTGGATAACTTCATACTATCGTCACCTGTAGGTGTACCAACTTTTTTCGAAGTATGAATAACTATGACAAAGACTAAGTAAACAAATAGTACTGTAAAATTGTTGAATCGTAAAAATAAACTGATTCGGCTGATTCAGTCCTCGAAAAAAAGATATTCCGTCAGTTATTTGTATCTGTAACGTGTGTAGGGTGGGTTATCTTACAGCACATAGGTCTGACTAGGCCCATTGTGCATCGTCCTAATTTGAGAGGCCCCTCTTAGCTCGTCAGCCAGCCTACAGATTTAATGTATTGGCCAGTGTTAGCCAATACTCGCCGAACACAAATCTTCTAATGAATGAGAGGGTCGGGCCAATCGTAGAGAATATGCTCGATGGTCTTATCGTCTTGTTCGCACCCCCAGAGTGTGACAGACCCATGCAATGGAGATGCTTTCGTACTTGGTAATGCTGTCATGATAACTTAAAAGCTCCCTGCATCTCTGCAACTCTGCAGCTTTTTGTTTCGTCCCATCTTTCCTTGAATTGCACAAGGGAATGTTCTTTATTTAGGTTTGTCACTACCGATGTTGTCAGTCCAATAGAAGGGCCAGGTCTAAAAATATTTGGTTGGCTACCGTCTTGGCTAGTGAATCGATGGGGCGTGAACCTTTGATCCATCTTATGGTCACCACATTGTTGATGGATACTTCGATCAAAGGTTTGTGACATTCTATTACGTGATGTTTCCAGGGTGAGTGCTATGCTTGTCTGCTATCTGTATCTTCCAGTGATATTGTTTCTGGTAACTTCTTTTGCTGCTATAAGAATCCCCGTGAGCTCCGTTTGGACTACATTGGCATTATTGCTCACAGCCCATTTTATGTTTAGGTTTATGGGTCTGGAATATATTCTACATCCAGAGCCTTGCTTTATTTTAAAACCGTCGGAGTAGATATTAATCGGGAGTGGCACTTCAGGCTCTTCTATTTGTTCCGTTATAACTTTATATTGCTTATAGAAGTTATATCTCTGTGAGATGAGGCCCATGTTTGCTTGAAACATATCGAGCGCCTCCCGCAAAAAAACGACGTCTCGCTTCACCAGATCCTACATCAGGTTCTATTCCAATCGTGCGGAGTTGTATTGTCATCAGAGTAACCTCCCTCTACCCTCCCTGGTGTGAAGTTAGTCTATTGAAGTACTTCTTTGAATAAATATCTAAAAATAGATACCTCTATACTCTGTATTATTTTCTTTATTTTTTTGGTCTTACAGAAGCCTTGGTTTGATAATACACTTTGGTTATTTTACTATTCACGTTTCGTAATATAAGCAGCTATATTTTTAGTATTTTAGATAACCATGAAGGTACATTTTTAAATATTTGTCCTCATAAACAGATTCTAGAAATAAACCTATTTTTCTTAATTTCATTTAATATAAATAATATCAGCATTTAATTAAAAGAATATTAAACGACTTTTCATTAAAGTTGATTGAAGTACTTTTACAGAGAATATTTTGCCGTTCCCTGGTATATATCAACCTTTCCTTTTTTGTATTATAAAAACATCAGTTTTTTGTAAGACAATGGATATTTTCAAATATAGGTAATATGAATATTAGATTTTATTGACTGAGATTGCGACCATGAGCTTTTGAAATTTATACAAACAAAATGATTTATTATAATAATATAAAAGAAATGGGAAGAGGGACTTTTGGGTAAGTACTGAGATGCTTATTTTACTTGAAATAAAAATTATGATTTTTAAAAAAATTGTTAAATTAAAAGTTGTTTACGATATCCATCTCTATAATTTTTTTGTTTTTACATGATTTTTCTAAAATAGACCGTAATGGAAAATTGGAGAAAAAGTGCTAAATTTAAATTTTTAGTATTTTAGTTTTCAATGAAATATCTATAGAAAAATGTTTCGAGTTAGATGTATGTGGAAAATGTATATATTTAGTTTAGATACCTCTAAACATTTATAGAGGTGCTACAAAAGGTTGTACAAAATAACCAGAAAAAGCCTAAAATAACTAGATAGGAAAGTCATGTGTTGGACCCATCAGATTTTTGATAGTGTAGAAACTAATAGTACGACGTTTTTGTTAGAAGTTGTTTAGTAATAATTAACTAGAGTTGTAGCAACGTTAATTTATAAGAAACGTATAATTAAATTAAGTTGTTTTAAAATGTACAATATATGTAGTTGTTATAACGATTCTATAACTGTTAAATTACAACTACTTTTTAATACATACATATTCACTTAATAATACAGTTGAAATACCTTTAAAAACTGTAGTTACTATTAGGTTTATCCAGAAAATTATTATATGGTTAATAAAACTAATACAAACGGCTTTCGTGGTTCTTTTGTTTTAAATTATATATAATACACCGTTACTATAGAAGTTGTACAGTAGTTAAATGTGTATATTATTGTATTGTTAGATTGTATTATTAGGGTTGTTTTGGTTCTTTCACGCACTAATTCAGAATCAGTTAATTACATTCGTTCAGCTCAATAGGTTGATTATTATCGCGACGTACTCTTGAAAAATGAATTCGTCAAATGTAGTTAAGAACTGGAATTGGCGGTTCTGTTTGAACCAAAACAAAACCACAATCTTTCTGAGGTTAGGAGTTAGGAGTATCCGAAAAAGAGATTGCTCTTATAGATGTAAAAAAACTATTTAAACTGGACGCATCAAAGTACTTCAAGAAATAAAAAAATTTGAGAACATTTTAAACACAGATCCGCAGTACTTACATATACAATAAAACCATCCGTTGTTTTCAACAGTAATATTTGGAATTGTGCTTTTTGCAATAATTTCTAAGATAGTTATAAAAAGAAACAACTAATAAAGTAAGACCAAGAAAGATTGCAACACAGAAATTGACAAGAAAATAGTAACCAATTACTAAAAGTATGGTCAATAACAAAAAATAAAGTAGGTTACTTACCACATAAAATTGTAAATAAATTAGTGAGAATAATTATATGCACAATTAAAATTAAACAACTACCAAAAGATGCAAGAACCTTATTGCAAACTTCCAGAAAAGTGGACCAGAACGCAATGGTATATTTATTTAAAAACCCTATGTCTTAAAACCATATTTTGCAAATAATAAAGTACGTTTCATTTGATCCTTTCTTTATTAATCCTTGAAAACCAATATTAAAAATGATTGAAATACTCCTAAACAATTGCAAATTTTAATAAGCAGTAACAGTAAACACAGCACATCTACATAATATAAAAATGTTTTTATTTTTTGACAGTTATAACCTGAGGTTTGATATAACTTATATAATACACATATAATTAAGTTATAACGTAGTGGTAATAAATAATATGATACATGCAAATTAAACTTACATAATTAAGCTATAAAAACCATATATTATGCACATAAAAGCAACGAAAGTTATAAAATAATAAGTTAAATAATATTAACGTGGTGTTTATATGTATTAATTACAACTTTTTGGTCATAAGAAGAGTCAGTCATTTTATTCGGTAAAAAGGAACACAAACTTTCCGCTATCTTGGTAAAAAATAGACAAAAAATTATATTTGGAACTCATTCTGCATTATAATTGCAATATGTAGACAAAATAAGGTTACATTAATATGTTTTTATTTAAAATAACATTTAGTTTAAAATATTTTTAAGGTTTTTTTTTTGCAATCTTATTTTAGGATAAGGCGCATTAATTTTTCCAAACTAAAATTAAATGTTACTCTTTAAAATTTGTTTCGTAAAAGAATTTAGGTAGATTAAACCAACTTTTAGATAAAATCCTTGTATAAGTAGTCCTAGTAGGTCAGCCCAATGCATTTATTTGTTTGATACCAAAAGGGGACCACCACCAGGTGGCCAGTCAAATTGAGTCTCTTTAAGCTAGAGACGGTTGGAGCTTTTGCTAGTTTAAAATAGATGACAGAATAAACATAATGAAAGTTGCCATTTTTATTCCAGTCTGTATTGTTTTCATTGAATTTAAAAATATGTCAAAGTAAAGAAAACTGATTTTCGTAATATTGTTAAGAGTTATTGCTCCGCTGACCGCTGACAATAGCAAGAAATTTGTATAAATAGGCATTTTGGTTTAATCCTAGAAGACACAATTTTAAAGATAATACCATAATTTTTTTATGTGCAAAGAGAATAAGTGGCACTAGCCCCGGGTTTTTAAAAAAATGGCTGTTTCGTCAAAAGTAAAATTATAAAGTTTATTAAAATTTTTTGAAAAAAGGGCAACTTTTAATAGAGAATTAACATTATCAAACATGCATTAATTATGCTTTAAACGATTATTAAGTTGTAGTAAATCATTTCCTTAACAAGATCAAAAAAATAATTTTTAAAATGGGACGTAATATAAAGTCATAATTATTAAATCAGCAAAGTAAATTCGGGTATAAAAATGATTGAAAAATATGACTACAATATCCTTTCTCAAAAAGTTCCGTGTTCGTACCGAGGGATAGGCGATATTGTCTTCCTCGTCTACCTAGTATTGAAAATTGGACAGATAAGGAATAGGGAGTACATTTAGAAAAGATCTGAAATTTAGTATTGCTCGATGGTGCAAATTCCAGTAGCTTTTTTTCTAACCCAAAACGGTGTCGATACCTAATCCCTCGAAACTATTATTATTAAAGATTTAACACATATTCGAGACTCAGGTTTGAAACCTATAGGGATAGTATGTGATTTATCTACAGCTAACCAAAAAGTATATAGATCTTTGGGCATGGTAGAAAACAATTTGCATTTTTTATGTGCCTGACCTAGTAAAATGCGTTCGAAATAAATTTTTACAAGATTATTTTATCTTCAATGGCAAATTTATCAGATTTGCTGATGTTGAATAGGTTTATGAGCTGGACCAACGCAGCAAATCTGGAAGAGCTTTATTAAAAATCAGTTTAAAAAACCTTTTCCCAAATGCATTTGAGCTACAACCATTAAAACGGCAACAAGAACTGGAGAATTAGTTTTCATAACGGCCTAGTTTATTGAAATAATGAACAACCTATTTGATGGATTAAATAATTCTTCTGCATACAGTTCGAAACCTTGTAACCTATCGTATTATATTGAGAATAAAGAGGTGATTTTAATGCTGTTACACAAGGATACAAACTTTTAAAGAATGTAGCTAAACAAAATGCCGAAGGTAAATTAATGAGACCGAATTTATTCGATTGTTTTCTTCTTACCATAAATGCCGTTAAAGAGTTTTGTTCCTATATTATTACGCAAACTCAACTTAAATATATATTAACAGGAAGACTAATTTAGGATCCATTAGAAAACCAATTTTCTGTCTATAGGCAGAAAGGGAGTTATAATCGAAATCGTACTATTAGGGGTTTCAAAGCAGCTTCTTAGCTAAATATCGTTCATAATTGCATGAGGCCTCCATTTAAAGCAAACTCGGGAACGAATCAGGACGAAGACCAAAATCTCCTAGTGATGCTTTAAACGTTTTTAATAGAGCCTCATAATGTTCCACTACGTACTTTTGCCGGATACTTAATAAAAAAATGCATAAAAAAATTTAAAAATTATTTCGAAGAAAAAGAAAATGTTTTGAATGATGAACACCACTCATTTTTTACAAAACTTATAATCTAAACGAGCAATCCGGGCTAAAATATCCATCATGACTATTGAGCCAATTTGGTAGAATATCGCTACAAACTGTCACACAAAAGAAAGAAGAATATTTTACCAAAAAAAAATTTCTAATTTGCGAAAAAATATAATTGAAAAAATAAAAACATTTTTAGCAGAATAGTGTAATTGTAATAGTAATTGCGTGGAACACAGACAGTAACTATATGTTAGATTTATTATTTAAACTCAAATTTTCAAATATTGTAAGAACCGGTCCAAATTAGAAGCGGAAAACGAGGAAACTTCAAGTCAGTTAAAAAATGTAAAGTTGTCTATAGTACAAAATACATAAATAAATTAATTCCTCATTTTCCTTATATTTTTAATGTACCTACTTATTATACCTAACAAAATGTTTAATAGTAATAATAATACATTTATTATTCAATAATAAATAACCTCTGCACGTGTAGTTATTTCCCCCAAGAAAGCTAATAATTATTGTAAGAGGCTGGTACTTAGGTTATTTAAAAATCTTGTCTTTTATTAATTATAATAATATTATTTTATATTACCAATTTTTTTTATCCAAACTACCTACCTACCTACCTACCTACATTCTATTAAAAACTATAAGTATAATAATTTCATAAATTACGGTCCTGGATAACAAACGTTCATACGATTTTATTGTTTTCATCATATTTATACGAAGTTGAATGACAAAATTAGCGATTTACCTACATAAAGACAAAAATGTTAAATACCTACCGATTACCGATGGCTTGAATTTACGCTATAAACATGAAATATGCGTAATATGGTAGACCACCAACTTAAAAATCATATAAGCGACTTCTAATAAATCGCAATTATAAAGCTGGTAAACTATTATTCGATAGTTGCAAGTTTATTAAATAGAGACGATGTACGGTCCAAAAAATTCCCAAAATGACAACGTTGAACAAACAATCCCAAGTTCTTTTACCGGCATCTAGAAAACTATTTTCTGCTTACGAATTTTTTTAATTTGCACTACTGTCCGCTTGGAACCGCCATGTGACGAGCATAATAA